GTGTGGGGCTGGGGACCCCCAAGTGTGGGGCTGGGATCCCCAAGTGTGGGGCTGGGGACCCCTAAATGTGGGGCTGGGACCTCTAAATGTGGGGCTGGGATCCCCAGGTGTGGGGCTGGGACCTCATATGTGGGGCTGGGACCCTCAAGTGTGAAGTTGGGGACCCCCAAGTGTGGGGCTGGGACCCCCAGGTGTGGGGCTGGGACCCCCAAGTGTGGGGCTGGGGACCCCTAAATGTGGGGCTGGGACCTCAAGTGTGGGGCTGGGGACCCCTAAATGTGGGGCTGGGACCTCAAGTGTGGGGCTGGGACCCCCAAGTGTGGGGCTGGGGACCCCAAGAGTGAGATGCGGTCCCCAAGTGTGGGGCTGGGGACCCCTAAATGTGGGGCTGGGATCCCAAACGTGGGTTGGGATCCCCAGGTGTGGGGCTGGGGACCTCCAGGTGTGGGATGGGACCCCTAAATGTGGGGCTGGGACCCCCAAGTGTGGGGCTGGGAACCCCAAGAGTGGGATGGGAGCCCTAAATGTGGGGCTGGGACCCCCAGGTGTGGGATGGGACCCCAAATGTGGGGCTGGGACCCCCAAGTGTGGTTCCCCCCCCGCTTAACCCCTCTTTCCCCATAGGGGGAGCAGTTGGAGGCGGAGCGGGCGGCAGTTATGGGGCAGCGCCTCCTCAGCACCCCACACTTGTGGGGATCCCCGGAACTGGGGGGTGACCCCGAGATGTGGGGGGACCCCGAGATGTGGGGCGGCCCCGAACCCCGGCCCTGAGCAGTTGTGGGTGAGTGTGGGGGCTGTGGGGCGGTGTGGGGTGATGTGGGGCGATGTGGGGCGGTGTGGGGCGATGTGGGGCGATGTGGGGTGATGTGGGGTGATGTGGGGCGGTGTGGGGTGATATGGGATGCTATGGGTCTCTGTGAGTCTCTATGGGGCACTGTGGACCCCTGTGGGGCGCTGTGGGTCTCAATGGGTCCCTATGGGGTGCTGTGGGTCCCTATGGGGCGCAGTGGGTCCCTATGAGTCTCTATGGGCCCCTGTGGGGTGCTGTGGGTCTCTATGGGTTCCTATGGGGTGCTGTGGGTCCCTATGGGTTCCTATGGGT